ACTCAAACATTTCAAAGAACTTGAGAAACTTAAACTTTTAAAGTTGATTGTTTAGTTGCTTTTATATCAGGATAGACAAAATATAACATCACTGCTCATAATCTATATTTTCTTGTGAGTTAATATCAGCCTTGACTTTGAAGGACACAAGCTCCAAGGCAAATTAACTTATTTCCTGCTTTTCTTTCATCACATGTTAACTAAGGCATAATCCGGGCGACATGACACGACAGAAAACGATCATTACAATAGCAGATCGAACACTTTCTAAAATTAACAAAACGTTCCATGTCACAAGCAGCTGATATCTTATTCTTGTCAATGTTTAGAAAAATAGTTGTATTTATAATTGACTTTTAGAAGTGAATTAACATTTCTTATCCGGTACCCGACGTGTTAAGTTTAAAAAAAGTTACACCAATATATTTATTAAATTATCGTTCGACAAGGATAAATATAATATCTAAGTTCAGTCAGAAGTCTGAAATGTATTAACCAAACTTAGCATAAAAAGTTTTTGGTCACGCTCCTTTGTTTACATTTTCCCTACAGTTTCAACTATTTAATATATTCCATTCCATCTATATTTTAAATTATCATATTACAAGATTAAATCTAAATACTTTATCTAAATTTAGAAGCAGGGAAAATACTAAACTTGATGAGCTATAATTGTTTTGATCACGCTCCTTTATTTACATTTTTTCCTGTCCTTTTAACTATTTTCTTTAGTTGAATTTTTCAGATTCTTTTATAACTGTTAATTACTATCTTACTTAGTTGAAAGGATCTTATTTATATTGATTTTTTTAAATAATTGTAAAAAAATAAAAATTTTATGCATAAAATACTTGATTTTGGACTTTAAGTATAGACTTCAATAATTGCCACGAATACTCCATAGTTTCAAATTATTTTTTTAAGTGGTAGTGAACTAAAGCAGAATTTCACAAAACAAATTGATAGTTTTCAAAAAAAATTATTAGAACTTGAGAACCTAAGAAATATCTGTTTAAATTACTTGTGTTCAGTCTCGGCCAAAATTCTTCTAATTCCCATTTATTAAAATATAAATTTACCTTGCTGCCACTAGGAAAAAAAATTGTAAAACTACGGAGAATCCGAAGTTGGAGTTCTGGTTTACGACTATTTGTTTTTATAGTATGAAATAAAAATACTCCTAACAAATTTATATGTAACTTAGTATACAGCGATATTTTATTAAAATTTCGCCATTTTTTTTAAAAATTCGGACGTGAGAAGCAATGTAAAAAAAAAAAAAGAATAAAAAGCAATGTAAAGAAATTCTATAAAATCAATTTTTCAATATAGAAGCATTTTTTGAAATTTTGCTACTCAATATTTATTAATTATAAAATTCTGATGAAAATTTCAAGTCAACCCTTGATAATTTCCTAAAAAAATTCATCGTCTCTTAATTGTATTAGAAAAAGTCTCGAATTGTTCAATTTTGAATTTTATCAGTTTATCTTTTTGCTTTAACCATATAAAATACAAAAAAAGTAGTTAGAAATTTTTTTCCATTCATATTCAAAAATTTATAAATAATTGACTTTGTAAATTAAAGAAATTTCAACGATCGATTTTTTTAGATCTATATAACTGGAAATAAGTGCAAATTTGAATAATTGTCGTTTAGAAGTGAGCCATGTTTTGAAGATTTTACCTTTAACGCAGAAAAAGACCAGTATTTCATGCTGTACTTTATAACCATAAATTATTAAAATGCTAAATATAATATTTTTTTACTTATTTTGACCTAAAATAAAAAAAAAGTAACGAAAAAAGTTTCAAAAAAATATGCTTAATAAAAAGTCTGCGTCAAAAGGTTAACTAATTTGCTAAATATAATTTGTATTGAGTTTTCCATCATTAATATTTTTCCCTTCATCTTATCTAACTAAAATTAATAATCAACATAAAATGATGTTATCATTGCTCTTAATTACTGTACTTTTTTCATAAAACGTTTTACAATATTTGTCCTTCATACATTTCACAGCATGTTGTCTTATCAGTTTTTGCAGGGAAAAGTTAATTGGATAGAAAAAAAGGTCTCCAAAGTGTTTACTAATGATAAAACGACATAACAAAAGTAAACATCTAATTCACACAAATCTTTTGCGTTAAACAGGAAAAGCCACAGCTTGATTAATTTCCGGGTTTTACGTATAAAAAAAATTGATGCAGCATCGGATCATTGGACAAAAAATAAATGATTGAGATTATTTCTTTAAATTCACGTGTTATGCATTAAAATGAACGTCTGTCATCTGATATTTAAGATTACTGAAACATATATTCACAATGAGCATTTACATATAGTTAGCGGATATGTTTCTTAACATTTGCCTTCGTAAAACTGAATTTAAAATAACTTCCAAGCTAAGCCGAAAGATAAAACAAGACCTCTTGGCGAGCTTTCAAATCCTACTAAGTCATAATTGCATCAAATAAATCTTCAGTGGTTAGCACGACGATTATCAAATCCGGAATTTTAAATATAAAAACCGCTTATTAAAATACAAATTTATGTTTTAAGTAAGTCAAACAAAAATGTATAGAAAATTGTTGAACAGTGAACATCATTTATTGGCAAAGCGTTGATGATCTTTGATGTTAAATGATAATCGAATAAAAATAAGAAAGTAAACCATCCAGGGGCTAAACTGATAATAATTAACCTTTTAAAGCAATTCTATACGTTTCAGGTTATTTTTAACATTTAACTAATGTTCTCTTAATTGCATTAACCATATTTCGGCCAAAAACGCGTAAACGTACCATTTTAATATATATATTTTTTAATAACACTGGGACGTATATTTCTCACTAATTTTATTTTTCTGCTTTTGTCAAGGGTTCTTACGACACCCAAAAATTAATAGTAATTTATTTGAAGTAAACACTTACGGTTGAGAAATTTTAAAACTATTAAAAATTTTTTAACTTAAAACATTTGTTGAGAATTGAAATTTTTTGAAAATATATACTTATTAATTTTGAGATTTATGATTATGTTTTTATGATGGATTAAAGTTGCAAGTCTGTAAATAAAAAATAAAAACAAATACATAAGAAAAATGTTCAATTAAATGGTTTGTTCATTGATTTGGTGAATGGTGCCTTTACGCCCCATTTTACTTCTGAAATGAAATATAATTTTTTATACACGAAATTTTTTGTGCGTCTTAATTAATGTAATATAAGCATATTTTAATGAATATAATACAACATTTTACAAAATTTATATGCTTGGCCTAAAATGGATTAAATATAGATAAATAACTAAATTTTGAAAGTAACAAAATTGAAAACATTTTTAATTCGAAATAATGAAACGTTTAAAAGTATAATGACTTATTTTAATGACATATTCCGTATAGTTAAGTAAGTCATCAAACGATTGTAGGTTACTGAATAATAATAATTTTAGCATTGAAAATCATAAAATTACTTGTTTTAATAATGTTTCGTTTGTAAATAAGTCTTAATGATTGTAATACAGGCACTGAAAACAAAACTTCAGACCTACAAATATTTTTTGTTCGTAAAATTGCAAAGGAAGAAATTATATATATTTTGATATATTTGTTTCAATATACATACCTGCCAACTTTTGATTCCTTCGGAGATGATTTTCCGCAGTGGTAGTATAATGGAATTTAAGTAACAATTTTAGACAGAAACATACGCAGTACTTAAAGGCGGCTTAGGCAGACTAACATAACAGTATTACATATTGATCTACATGCTTAATTTTTTTTAAAATAGTGGTTATAAAAAAGATTATAAATTAAGTTTATAAATGCAAAAAAATGTATGGAAAGCTTACATTTTACTACCACTTTAAATATAGAAATAAAATTTTACGCCAAATGCGTAAAAGTTGGCAGGTATGAATATAGTAAATTATTTAAAACTTATATTATTAAATAATCATAAATTTTATTTTAAAAAAAAATAAGGACTTTATCAAAATGTCAGTAAAACATTTCAAATCATAAATTTTGACACAAATTTAATTCATGCTTGGTGATCCTTTAAAGAATTGCACTTAATATACATTTTAGAATTCTTATCAAATATTAAATCAAAAACGTTTCACTGTCGAGGTCACAAATTAATATTTAAACGAGGAAAAAACAAAAACGTTGAAATCTGACAAATAGTAAAAGGAATCGGATAACAAGACAGGTTTGATTTTTAAAAGAAACGAAATTGAAAGACGATTATAAGAAACCTCCAATTAAACCAGTTTTGATGTATCTGTCTTTCTACATTGTAATTTCTCAGGTTACGATATTGTTTTTGTTTTCTTCTCGTTTTAATATTAATTTGCATGTGCATACTTTGTTTTCATTTTCAGATTTACGGAACATCTTGTAGAATAAGCAGAGGAATTTGCATGAAAACCTAACTAAATACAATTGAAATAAACAAATATAGCAATTTGCAATTACTTTGGTTATGAAAAGTTTCATAAAGGAATTTAATAAAATTCAAAAACGCTACAAGTATTGAACTTTTAATTTGCTTTCTCTGTAACGAACTTAAATATCGGATATTAGACTACTGTTTCAAAGAATGTTAGTTAATCTCAGTATAGGTTAACTACTTTTTATGAAATCTCATTTTTCTGCTATTTTAAACATTCAGGAATAAACGCCAGCCTAAAGTTGGAGAAATTGGTGAATCAGCAAGTATAAGATTATTTACAGATCTACCAATTATTAAAATTATATTTTATTTTACAAAACAAACAAAACTGCAAAATATTTCTACTCCTCATTTTTTAATAATTAAACATACAAAAGTAAAATGTAATTTTAATTGTTAAGAGCGAATATTTTTAGCATGCGATAAACTACAATTCAGTTGCTAAACGAAATACATGTTTAGTTGTGGCATAAAACTAACTGCTGTATCAATAAATAACTCTGCATACATTGTAACATACAACATAAAAGAGGACTTACTTGGAAATCATCTGCGAAAATTTTGACTGAATTCATTTTTATATTATGAATCCAATTTTCTTCAAAATTAGATATATCTTGGTTCTCAAATGAAAATTTAGAAAAGAAAACGTACAAAATAGTTCTGTATGAGAAACGAAAAGAAAAAAAATCTATTTAGTTATTTTTAACGAATTACTTTGAGAAAAATTTAAGAGCTAGAAAAACACAGCAAAATTTTGTGAATGCAATGCAAAAATCTAGCGGTTTCGGGTATTCATTTCAAATTAATTTGACGGCTGCTTTAAGTGGGTTTATCTAGGGATTAAGGTAATATTTCCATCATCATCGAAATATATCTGGGCGCCTGGGTCCGTTAGCGGCCTTTTTCCCATTCGTCTTGTATTGTGGTCTTTAAGGTGGCTCTTTCTGGTAATTGGAATGCAATTGGAATAAAAGGAAATTAAATATTTTGTATTTTAGTTAAAATTACGTCACTACATAAATGAATAATATTTCCAATCCAGACGTCGCAGATTTGTACCCCCGATGTCGTTGAAGATTCCTATTTCATGAAACGAGAACTTTACATACGGTCTAGTCAATGCGTTCATAGTCGTGTTTATCCACCAAATGCAGGTAGAGGGTTCGATTCTTATCATAATCCTGGATGCATCTCTTATTCTGTCTTTGTGATGGAGTGTTTGGCGATATAATAATTCCACCATATGATCTGTAGTATGGAGGAAGCGGGTTCAAATACCTCCCCAACTCATTACGTATCTGTGTGCTATCCTTCTATAAATTGTGTAATCTGTCTTTCAACTTGGAAGGGTTTGGAAGCCGTTCTTTGTAGCACACAAGCCTGCATATATGTATGGTCCCGCAGTGGATTGATCGTTAAGACACGGTTCCCAGCAGATCACCGAAGTCAAGCATCACTGGCTGCGGTCAGTGTGCGGGTGGGTGACCACTTGGATCAGTCTGCGTAGGGACCGAGGGTGTGCGGTATTGGTCCTCGTTAAACTGTTCTACCGTAAAGTGCTCGACTTCGCGTGCAGGTCGTCTGGCTACCGAAGCGGGGGTGCCATCCCCTCTGCAGAGGATCAAAATTGCAATGGCGTGTCTTCGAATCATCCTCAGGGATGTTTCCCAGACCATCGCCAATAGCCCATTGTACAGCTCTAGTGCGACGTAAATGAACAACAACTTTTAAAAAAAACTGCATATACGTATGTGTAACCATATACATAAATAAGTGAGATCCATTGAAATAGCGGTTTATAAACGCATGTCAAATAGAAGAAAAGAAAACACCCATTAGAGAAGTACAGCACAAATATATATTTAGGGTTATCGTGGGATTCGAACCAACTACCTCCATGTTTCAGAGCGTTTGGTAAAACGGCAATACTACTCAACGAGGGAGGTCTCTTAAATGAATAACATAGAGTTCGTGGGGCCTCCCTGGTCGAGCGGTATCGCCTGCCAAACGCTGTGTGAAGAGTGGAGGTTGCTGGTTCGAATCCCACCGTAACCCTCTATGTTATTCTTCGTAGTGCCCTTCTCTGAATTGTGCTCTCTGCTCATCTACTTGGCAAAGGCTTATAAACCTAAATTGGCACACCTAGCAAATGTATGTAATAATTTCAATAAAGCAACAATAGAGTTCGTCGTATCTCCTATCCATTTTAATACAATTCGTAATTCGTTATCGATTGATTGATATGTTCATTTACGTCGCACTAGAGCTGCACAATGGGCTATTGGCGACGGTCTGGGAAACATCCCGGAGGATGATCCGAAGACATGCCATCACAATTTTGATCCTCTGCGGAGGGGATGGCACCCCCGCTTCGGTAGCCCGACGACCTGCGCGCGAAGTCGAGCACTTTACGGTAGCACAGTTTAACGAGGACCAATACCGCACACCCTCGGTCCCTACGCAGACTGATCCAAGTGGTCACCCACCCGCACACTGACCGTAGCCAGTGATGCTTGACTTCGGTGATCTGCTGGGAACCGTGTCTTACCGATCAGTCCACTGCGGGACCGTAATTCTTCATCAATTCACACTATGTAATGAAATGTTTTGATTTTGATTTGGTTGTAATCGTCACACTGGAGCTACACTAATCATTACTGTAATGAAATGCGTCTTAGTGTCAGAATAAAATTTAAAATAAAAGAAAGAAAAAAGGTTGGAAAGCAATCGTAAATAGCAAAGTAAGTTTATAAGTTTCCTTTTCTATTTCTAAGTTTAATAATGCGTCAAAAACATGCTTAGAAGACAGTGATTATGCCTTAATTTGTACACAATTTGTTAATTTGGTCAGATGGATAACTGCAAAGTATTATAATCATGCTTAATTTTAAAGTGTTCTTTTCTACAGAAGATTTGTTTTATAAAGATTATTGCTTTAAAATTGTATTTTATGATAATTATTTATACTTACAGTTTGAAAAATCACAATCAGGATTACATCAATTATAATTTTTTTTTATTTGAAATAGTCTTACAATTTGTTATTAATCTAATTGTTCTAGAATTTTTTTTGCATATTAATTAAGATATAGTAAATGATGGTGTATAAAATATTCTGTCTGTGCATTAATAGAAATAACTACAAAGTGTAATTCACCTGCCCTTTACCATCCTTAAACTGCCCAGGGAACTAAGTTTGATAATTGAAATATTCGATTTGAAAACCATCACGATCAATTTTTAGAAATGTTACTGAACTGACAAAAACATCTGTCATTCATTTAATTGAATCTGTATAAAAAATTTTGTTTCTGAAAAGAACTTAGGCAAATCATTTTTTTTTTTATGAAATAGTTTGCTTCATAAAAAAAAGTTATTGGTTTTTCCTTTAATTTAAGCTGAAGTGTTTTCAGAGAAAATCTAGTTTTGACATGAACAAAGAAAGCTAAGCTTAAATTGATTAGAGAAAGGCCGGTTTCTTCCTTTTATAAAAATCTGTATTTTAGTAAAATTAAAAAAAAAAAGACATTGTTTTCAAGTTTTTAAAATATTATTTATGACAGATTATCATTATGGCTAAAACTATAAACATGACAACTAAGGAAAAGACGATCACGTTTCATGTAAAAGCTATATACACACATACGAATTAAGAGCTTACATAGTTCGTAACATTTTAGCATCAATTAAGATGATGAAAATGCTAAAAATATTAGAAACTTTCGTTATTGTTGAATGAAATGTATAAGATATTTTCGTAAACACCTAACAGTGAAAAATCTGCAAAAGGATTAGTTACAACAGGGCTGCCCAACTGCAAAGAGCCCACGGGCCAGAATTCCGGTCACTAATCACCTGGCTGGCCGCAGTTTGAAAAAGTTGAACAATAACCTCTTATACAATAACAATTAATAGTTGAATTATTAATTATAAAACAATGGAACAGAAGGATTATAAAACAATTTGCTTACATTTTAATGGGAAAACAAAGGCCGATCAGCCTAAATAAGAAGTTGGCTGGCCGCATGCGCCCCGCGGGCCGACAGTTGGACAGCCCTGAGTTATAACATAGAAACTTTTGGGTAGTAATTTTAAAAACATTTCACTCACTGGCGGTTCTGCATGTAAAAAGTCACATTTTAACCTGCAGTCTTCTCCGCATAGCAAAATCGTTTTTTCCATATTAGATAGGGAAATAATGAATTGGGGATAAACATTCTCCCAATTTCGCCCATTTGATTAACCGCCAGTGGGTTAATTTCCGAAGAAATTATTTTTCATATTTATCAGCATAAAGAGAAATTTCTTTTTGAATTGTTATTGATTTAAAATTTAAATCTAGCTTTTCACTTTGACTTAAATACTATGAAGTTTTACGATATTTTTACTAATTTTAGTCACTACAAATATGTTTCTGTTGCTGCCTAAAATCATCAAATTGGTTCGCTGGTTTTAAATAATGAAATCACTTTTTTGCATATTTTTCTACAGATTATCACTTTTTAGGATTTGGAGAGTTTGGGTATAAATTTTTATAAGTAGTTTCATTAACGTAATATGGCTTTGGTATTAAAGAAGATGCTGTGTTTCGGATAGGTAATAGTATCCCGACAGTTTTTATAAAAGCGTACACTAACGAATAGTTTAAATAAGTTTAAAAAAATTCTGGAACCAGGATTTCTGTGCTTTTTATTAAGAACGCTTACATTATTCTTTTCAGCTTAGAAAGTAAAGTTTGAAAAATATATTATTTAATGTGCAGACCAAATAAATAAAGAATCATTTGAAAAAATTTTACTTTAGTGATTGATTTTCACGTATCAACAAGCAAATTTAATGATACGTGAAAATCAATCACTAAAGTAAAATTGATAGACCATAATTATGTAAAAAAACAATGTTAAATTATAAAATATCTTTAAAAAAAGAAATCAGACACAAATACTTTCTTTGGATAAAAGTACTATTTTTCGGAAGTACTTAAATATACTGCAATTATGCTCACATGCCGTACTACGATTTTGCTGTACTTATAGTAAAATATCTTACTGATTTGAATATTTAAATAGTTTTCATTAGCTTAACTTGTTATTTATTTTCTATGTTATAAAAATGGTTAAACACGTAGTGATACTATGAATGATTAGTTGATACTAACGTAATCAGATGTACTTAATATCGTCTTTGAGTACTTTTAACAATGAAGTTTTCATTCACATTATGGAGCTTATAATTGTTATAGATCAAGTAAGTGTACCTAATGAGCAGCAGTTAAAAAAAATAAAAATAAAAAGCAGCTAAATCCAAAATGCCTTGACTTAGAACTTGATAAATTGCCAACGATGGCACGATTTCAAGATGATGTTGCTTTTAGCTTGCCAAGACAAGTAATAGAATGATTTGAATGACTTGTTTTCAGAAAAATTCTGAAAAGAAATACCGAAAATCATTAATAATAATAATAATAAAAGTTCTTTTTTTTCAGTCCGAAATCTAATATGTTAAAAAAAACGCAACAAAAGATAACTGTTTAAATTGGACCGAAACCAATTGTGAGAATAACGTTTGAAGAAATGAATTTCATAAAGTTCTAAATTTTAATTTATGTAATGTCTTAAAAAGTAAAATTTTTATTTTTATTTTTCAGTTAATACAGTACAATTTCATTTCATTTTGCGTATTTAAAACTTTAATTGCATATAAATATTTTTGACAAGTTTATGAACTAGATATGTACTAAATATGAAATTTAATTAAAGGATGACCGAATCAGCTTTTTTAAATGACCAATAGTTTGTTATATTGTAATAATGCTTCCGGTATTTTCATAGCTTATTTTTAATTTGAGATTATTTAATTTTTTACTCATTAATTTTTAAAATATTTTAAAAATAAACATTAAAGGCAGTGATTAAATAATACCATAATTTTTAGATTTATCCCAGTAACAAGAAGCGGGTAGCTGCATGGGATGAACTTAAAAACTTGTTGAAAAGAACATATTAAGTAATATTTTTTCAAAAAAAAGTTATTTCGTAAATAGTACTTATAGCAGAGTGTCCCGTCTAATGCCATGCCCCCCCCCTTTCACCATTGCTATATAACGATTTCTACTGTATTACAAGTTTCAAAGTAAAAATATACATTCATTTATTCATTTAGATTTCGGAAACATCAATTTTTTTTAGATAAACAACTTAAACTACAGAAATTGCTGAATTTAAAGTGTACATATGTATTCATAATGCTTATGATTATCTTGGTAATTCATAAAATAGAATTTAAATAAATGCCGAAGACCGGAAGAACAGCACCAGATAAAAAAATTCGCGCACATCCACTCCCCGAAAAAAAAAAACTTTGTAAATTGAGCTTTTATTTTGAAATAATAAACTCTAAATTTACGAATAAAACAAAAGATGATATTTGACAATCCCACGTTGTATACTTCAAAATAATTGCATAATCATGTGCATAAATTATAATTATGAATACTAATTAATACCGAAAATTTAATCCTTATCAAAAAAAATTTCAAGATGCACTTTGTTCTTAAAAATATAAAGAATGCTAGAATGCGTCCAGATCTAACAATAAATGCATACTTAATATTAAAAAAATTACATTTACTTGAAAAATTAAAAAGGGGAAAAATGTTTACTTGTGTGTTTCAAGAGTTTGAAAACAGGCGCTCATTCTCAGAATCCGCCAGATAATACCAGACCAGGAGAGTTAGGAGAAAAAAACAAGTTAGGAATTTATTTTTTTTTACAATTTATTGAACAATTCATTCCCTGAAATGCATACGCGATAAATATTTTTCAAAACCTCTCCAAACATTGCACTTGAAGAAAATCAACAGTACAAAAAATAGAAAATTTTCTTTCAGTTATTTCCCCGGAACTTTTATTACCGTTTCATTGTTGTTTTTCACGCATATTTTCTACATAAATACTTTCTGGTGCTTAGGTTTGTGGTCTTACTTAATAGGTATGACTGAGTACATTCCCCCCCTCGAAATTATAAAATTCCTCCTAGTTTCAAAACCCTGATCAACACGTAATTTCTTTTTCTATCTTATTTTTATATATTTAAAATAGTCTACCTTATTCTGTTGCACTAAAATTTATAATTAATTTAAATAAGTAGCAAACTCAAATATTTTAATTGACCAATCTTCGTGCTCATTGTAAAAGATAAAACTTAAGCTTCATTCATCTAAAGTAAAAATATTCGATTTTAAGGGGAGAGTTAAACATAGAAGAATATTCCACTATGCTAAAGAAAATAATCAGTGCCCTAACATTTCTGAAAGCTTCGGTATTTCTCGTAAAAAAATAGTACATTGTCATTAAAAAATTAAACATATAAAATCTTAATCTTGTCGGGAAATTTTTGTTTCCTTTCAGGAATATTTTAGTAGCACCACATTGCCATTACATTGCGAATGAAACATTGATATTCGAGAACCATCAACAATTTAAACCAATTGGAATCCAACTTGCTCAGCTGTCATTTGAAATTTCCCCAGGATGCTTAAATAAAATCGTTAATATTAAACGCACTCAAAAGTCTAGTCCACTTGAAAATTCGATGAACTTATGTTCGAATTGTGTCCCATGGGCAACGAGGTTTCTCTTAAATCTATGGCTATGGATCGATAAAATAGAGAAACATAACACAAGGCTTGAGAACGAGAAATTGGGTTAGTTTTGTTTACAGCGCCAATATTATCCGTTTT